CTTTTGTCTTCTCATCAGAGTGGAGTCCAGTTCATTGCTGCCCCTGCTGGTTCAGCTGCTGACCAAGTTGTGATTGAAGCCTGTGATGAGTTGGGAATTACTCTCATTCATACCAACCTCCGTCTGTTCCACCACTGATGTTTTCCAGAGCATTTGCAGACATTCCTCTTTGCTTGTCTATTTACTGTCTCCAGCAGTGAAAGCATCTCTTCTTTCCCTTTTTAAAAAAAAACAATCAGTCTTCAGATGGCATATTTCTTTTTAAAATCAGTATACAATGAACTATATATTGGGAACTAGAAACAAAGTAGTTTAACCTGTAAAGATTGTTTTGAAAAATAAATGCACAAATCTATTTGTTAGTATTGTGTCTGAAATCAAATTCTTTATACATTCAAGACATGGACTTTTTTTGGCATCACAGTACAGAAAACCAACATCTTACTGGGGGAAAAAGATGATCAACAGGCATTATGCATAGAGGGTGAATAGTCTTTAAATTAGAGGTGTAGTAACCCCCTTCCCAATCTTGCAATGTTAATATATCAAGTGCCCTTGCAGCCTATTATGGAAAATGAAGGTAAGGACTTAACACCATTATGGGTTCTTTTTAGCAGGATGCTGGTCAGACTGGCAATGTGTCATGTGGGGATGTAGGGGGCATGCAGACTTCAGTTCACTTGTGTGCTTTGCTAGGAACATCGTTAAAAGCACCTACAGTATATGACAGAAATCGCTTCATGTGTTTTTGCTCTCATGGGAGCTAATGGGAAGCTGTAACTGTACCAGTAAGTGAACAGTTGGTCTCCTTTGGAGGATGGCATTGCTTTTGCACTTGATTTCATGTCCCTCTGTGTTGTAATAGTCTTCATCTTTTTCAGCTTACCTCCATCCAAATTTTGAAGACTAACTTTGCTACCTTGACAGCTTCCGTACACAACACTAAAGTATTGTTTGATGGCAGAATGGGGGAGGGGGGAGAACCTTTGAAATCTGAAGCCTCTCACCTTGTAAACTGGGAATTTCAACTTGCTTTCAAAATAGTGCAGTAATGAATCAAGTTACAAGATAAATGCTGGTACATTAAACTATGGCCTTTGGAAGTCATGCTTTGCGTTTACTAGAAATTATTAAATATAAAATGGCGTTAGAGATATGTATTTTCTCCAGTGTGATGGAAATAGCTTCTGCCCTGTCAGCAGTGGAATCTATAGTATGGGTAAGTAATTACTGCTTACGAAGAGAAAATAAGTGGGCAGCCTGTATTCTGGAGTTTTGGTGGTGGTTTTATATTTTAAATCTCCACTGTGAAATACCTTGAGGCAAATGTTGTTTGAACTTTTGTTTGCCACAATCTGATACAAGGGTTTGAAAGAGCGCAATTAGATTTCTTGATGTGGAGAATTATTCACAGTAGGCATAAACCTCACCAAACAGCATAACTGATTCCATTTCTGAAAGATTTATTTTTCTCCAAACAGGAAAAAGGAACTGTTCAAGGCAGGATGTTTTTATGTGTCTGGAGAAAGATAGGCCTTTGGTATATGCCAAGTTTCTTTGAACTTTATGTTACCACTAATGAATATAGACCACCTCATCAAGAGTGTTTTTAAAATAAGTAAAACCAACTGATTTGGAATATATTTGGTGCCTGGATAGTACAGTGAGTTGGGTACCTGGCTAACCAGAGTCTGAGAAAATTAAATAAATAAAATAAAATAAATAACCAGAGTCTGGGTCGTTGGTTCCCTCCTGTGCCTCTGGAGAGAACAGCCAGCTTTGTAGTGTTGTGAAGTTCCAGGGTGCCCCGTCCCCTAGGAGGAGGGAAGGGCAAACCATTTCTGAGCATCTGTACCTAGAGAACCCTGGAAAGGGTCACCATATGTAAGTAGGAATCAACTTGACAGCACATAATCATTATTGCCGTGGCCTCTAACACATTACAAGTGGGCAACGAGCCTTCGGTTTCATATGGACAGCAAAAATCCTCAAGGTCGCTACAGTTGAGTAGTATTAGTGAAAATGTTTTGGAACCTACAGGTCCAGTGTTGCTGTAAAATGACAAATTAAGTAGCATCCAGCTCACCTAAAACTGTGTAGAAGATGAGAATGGGATGCAGCTCCTTGAGAAAACCAAATAAATGTTGAATCAATTCAAGTGAACTAGAACTGACTTTGTAATAGAAGAGCTCCCCATTCCTCTTTGGATCGCTTCAGTCTGATGGAAGGTGGAGCTGTTGGTAGCTATTAGTGTTGATGAGTATTCTGTTCTCTGGAAAAATCCATGTGCCTCTGTATAATGGTTACTTGGAAGCACAAGCAGAATCACAACCATGGTGAGATCATGCCCTGCCAGTGGCTTCCCAGACACACTTCCTTGGCCACTCAGGGTACAGGATCCTGGGCTTGGGAGGCCTTTGACCTGACATATTTCAAGTTTGATCATAAGTTGCGAGTGGGGTGGTTTGGGTCTCAACCTGAGTAAACAGATATCCACCTAGATATTTGCTCTGTGTGGGAAGCACAGAGCCGAAACAGCTTGGAAAGCTCTGGGCTGTTCTTTGTCCTGGGCTGTCCAGGGAACACTTCAGCTTATCATAAGATGTGTCATGTTGGAGTTTTCTGTAATTGTGCTCATAAGAGTATGGCTATGGATTGGACCTTAACTGGTTAGGCAGAAGGAACATGTAACTTGTCACATGGTCAGGGTGTGCAATTTTTATTGATTTGACCTACATCCCTTCTTTCTCCCTGAAACTGACTCCCAAGGTGTCTTCTGTTGAGAATTTTGATTATAATGTGTATTCTCATAACATCAGCAGAGTAAGAAGATATTGGTTAGCAGAGATACAGTGGTGCCTTGCTTAGCGATTGCTTCATTTAACGATGTAATTGCTTAACGATTAGTTTTCAGGAGCGATCTTGTGCTCCGTTTAATGATGTTTCCTATGGGCGATTTTCGCATAGCGATGTTTGGGAACCTTGCTTCGCATAGCGATGACAGTTTGGGTCCCCCTGTTTTGCTTAACGATGGTTTTGACAGCCTCGTGTTGGCTGTCTTTTAAATGTTTAAAAATGTTTTTGAAAAGGTTTAGAATGCTTGAAATCATAAATGCACTTAATAAACCCTTTGTTAAACTAATTTGACTTTGTTCTGACTCTTTTTGAATTTGTTGTAATTTTTCCCCCCCCATTGAAATGCATTGAATAGGTTTCAATGCATTTCAATTGGGGAACCGCGTTTTGCTTAGTGATGTTTCCTATGGCGATTTTCACTTAAGGACGGCAATCCATTCCCATTGGAACGGATTATCCAGTTTTCAATGCATCTCTATGGGAAAACGCATTTCGCTTAGCGATGTTTTTCCATAGCAATGTTTTTTTTACCAATTGAAATCGTTAAGCGAGGCACCACTGTACTTATGACACTATGACACTGAGAGAGTAAAACCAACAACTTAGTCTGTTTACATACATATAGACATTCCTCTGGCAGCATAACATGACATGAAGCAACACACAGCATAAGAAAAAGTGATCTGACTTATAGCAGGTAAAAATGTTCATTTTACACATGACTTATGTACAGTTCTGTGACCAATCAGAAAATACATTCCTTCATTTTCTGTCACACCAAGTTTCATCATGTACACAGCTGTACAACATTAAGTCTTAATCCTTGATACCCATACCTGAATACAATCAGTACAGTGACTCAGGTAAAATCAGCCATTTTACATTTAACTATACAACATTAGTATTTAATACATTTTCATATCAAAATCTCAACATCTTCCTCATATAAAACCATATCAGTCCATACTGACAGAATGAACAATAAGCTTTTCTTTCCTTAGGAGGGGATAAAAAGGGGGAATTTCTTTAATTCCTATGTTCTCTTTCCTTAGGAGGGGATAAAAAGGGGGAGTTTCTTTAATTCCTATGTTATGTGGAAGAGATTGTCACTGTCGCATTGGCCTTCCCAGCCACACTAGACACTGTTCCAAGACCTCCATACAGAGCACACTACCATAGTCTCTCGAGACTGAAGGATGCCTACACATCTGTCTCGGAGGCCATGCTTTCCACTCCCTGGAAGTTAAACCCCTTGGCTACAGAATGACTTTCAGAACCGGGGGCGGGGGTGACTTGTGGGCCACATGGCGCAATCCTCTGCTTCATGCCACCCGGAACTGCGGGGTCTGCAAAAGATGTCTGCCCAGCTCCTGCCCCTCTAATCAAATCGGCTCTATTGTCAGACAGAGCTGATTGTCATGAATTTCTCCTGGTATTCTACTGAAGCTTCTGTTAATGTAGCTTTGCTCGATTTAGTCTAGCCCAGGGGCTAGACATGCCATTGCATGGGGTATTCTGGGAATTCTCTAAACATGTAACATTTCCAAGTTTTGGTGCAACAACCTGGTAGGATGGTGTTACATACAGCACTGATGTTACCTGTCTGTCATGGGTTTGGAGGGAAAGTTCCATCCTATGGGGAGTGGAAGGCGGGACATCAGGAGGAGGGGCTGTACTGTATAAATATGTGATGCCTGTGTGGTGAGAGGAGATGCTGAGAGACACTGGGTTGTGACGAAGCAGCAGCTGGGAAGAAGAAGCTGTTGTGGGAGTCTGGGTGTCTGACAGGGTACTACTGTGTGTCAGAGTACCAGCCTGAAAGGTTCAGGGGTCTGTTGGTTAGCCAGAACTGATGGGTTCAGGGTCTGTGCTTTAAGTTAAAGGTTCTAGGTGAACCAAACTGTATGCTTGTGTGTGTGAGAATAAGCCACGTTACTTTATTTTATTCACCTGATTGTTTTATTTACCCTGTTTGTATTTAAAATAAACCTTATTCTTTTACTGTTTAAAAATCCATCCCTGGTCTGTGTGACTTTTTATAGGGAATGGTTGGTGGCAGCTTAGTGTAACTGTGTGGCAGATCCCAGTAGGTCTGGGTTTGTCACAGATGGTAGAGGAGTGGTTTTTGCTTCCTGTGTGAGAGGGTTTATATATATATATATATATTTGAAAACCTCTGTCTGGCTTTGCCTCAGTCTAAACATCCTGACTTCTTTGACCCATTATTTACAGAGTTTGGTTTTCCCTGCCCTTCCTGCTTTCATTAGCATCTTCTGAACCCCTTCTAGTTTGACTCTGTCGTGTATAAAGTCTGAGATTCAGAAATGAACAAAAGTACCCCCATGTGAGGGCTGACCTGTACTGGAACCCGCACGCTTTGCAATTCAAAGACTGTTGTTTAGATGAGGCAGCTTAAAAGGTGCACCAGCTGCTTTTTGGGCTGCAAGGGCAGTATTACAAAGGAGACACATGCTCATCTCACTCCTGAGATCCATTACTAGTGCCT